GTATGTCTTGTCTCTTGTCAGAGTGTTCACTGNTCTACATGTAACAATAGNNGAGGTAGGTAGATGAGAGAGAGAGAGAGGGAGTAGGATGATGTTTTGTAAAATGTGGGTTAAACTCTTCTTAGCGCTCCCGCAATGGGGTGCGTATGCCTGCTTACGCGTAGAATTTCTGATTTCTCCCTCTCTTTCTTTGCCTTGCTGTACCAGAGTTGTTTTTCACGCCAGGGTGGGCGGTGGAGGGAAGTCGGCAGCAGGTGACCAAGCAACAAGCAAACGGGCAAGGGGGGACGCACACAGAGAGGGAGATAGAGAGAGAAAGAGAAAACGAAGCAGCGTCGTAATAATAATAGTATATTCACCCATCTATATCTAAAAGGCAAAACAACAACAACAACAACAAGCCGCTGGTAGTTCCTGGAAGAGGTGAGGAGGAGGGGGAGCAGGCTGTGAGGGATGTTGTCGCAGTCCCTGCTTCACTACGCTGAGCAGGGCGAGGTGGGCAGCAGGGGGGCTTCTCCGCCGCTGCTTCGCAGCGTGTTGCGCCCCGCGTCGCACTGCCCGCTTTTTGACGTGAGAATGGAGAAGGGGCACGTCTGGCCGTGCGCCAACTTGCTTAACGGTAGTGGACGCTACCACGCCCAGTGGCAGAATGGGGCCCATCTTATCATGAGCGATAACCGTCTTCTTGTGGTACGGCAGGGCGACCACTTTTATTGTCCACCGTGGGACGGCCCCATCCATGATGTCTGCATCCAGCAGCAAGGGGCAGACACGCACTCCATTCTCGCCGTCGGTCTCACGGACGGCGTGTATTTGGCGTTGCTGCAGGAAAAACCACAGTTGCAGATCACAGGCGACGTCTTTGTCAGCACAAAACACTCCGTAGAAAAGATTGTGTTTGTTAGAGACGGGGAGCTGGCGCTCTGTTACGGGAACGCCCAGGTGGCGACGTACCAGATCGCCATTGAGGGACAACAGAAGGTGAGCCTGGTCCCAGCGCACCGACGCCAACCCTTAAAGTTCATTCAGACGATGACGTCTCTCTGGGACACGCGACGGTACCGCGACAGCGCCTACGACGCCAGTGATGCAAAACTGTTCGTGCTGTCAAACACTGACCTTACAATGTGGGCGTACACTTCCACGGACGCCTTCGCCGCGGTGTGTTCCGTACAGCTGCAAGGGAATGTGGTGGCTGTGCTCCCGAGTTCGCAAGTGCACCGATACACCATGCTTGTTTTCAACGATGGCGGGCGACAGCCTGTACTGTTTGAGGCGGCTCCCGCAAAAGGTTCCGACGAGGCCCGTTCCGCGATGTGTTTGGGTGCGGTGCGTCCTTTGCCGGAGGACATTCGCTTTGACAGCGTGACGTTAGCGGCGCAGGACACCGAGGGTACGACGATGCTGTACGACGCACGGACCTGTACCTTGACGATGCTAACCGCCGCTTCTCCCATCTACGAGGATATGTACGATGTTGTGGAGGTTGTGGCCGTGCTGCGACTTAGCGCGACGGCGGTGGGAGTGGCGTGCGTCAGCGAGCCGGCGGATCCTGCAGCGGCGTTCGTTGTGTACGGTAAAGCTGGGATTCTGTGCCGCATCGGAGTGCGATCCCTTGGCTCCATGTTTGCTGAACTTGTGCAGCAGCCGGGCCCAAGGGACGGGCCCCGCACCGTGCTGCAGCGGCTTGGCTCAAAGCGGGGCATAGCCGCCTTGGTTGGGGCAGTCTTCGCCGGGGCCTCGACGGAGGTTATGTCGTCACTACTAACGGAGCTTATGCAGCCGACGTTTCGCGGAAACGGCATGCGGGTTGCGCCTGGCGTGCATGGTATCGTCTCACTTGTGCATCGCGAGATGGCGTTGGCGTCGTCGCTGTGGAATGCACCCTTTGCATGGCATCTGATTTGTGGCTTAGAGCGCATTGCTGCCCACCTGTGGGCGTGGCGCGAAAAACTGGAGGCGCTGCTGCGCCCGTCTGGTTACCTGGACTGCCCCAAGTGGCTGGAGCTGTCGTGGAGTGGGTTTGCCGCCACCTCGCACCACCACTTCACGCCTCGCACTGCGCTTAATGCGCAGGCGATGCTGCTAGAAACGCTCCTGAAGGGGCTTCAGGACGCCGGGGTGCTGTGCTGGCTGTACGGTCTGCGACTGCGCGGTAGCCCAGGCGTCGCCACCACAGGGCGGAATAGACTAGAACGCGTGGTGTGGGGTGACGACCCGACCACAGCCATCACATCGCTTTGCATGGAGACCTTGTCAACAGCGGACTCATTTGTGATCGCGCAGCTGGAGGCACGACGGGACATTCTCCCGCTGCGCGCCCGCCACGTAGTCCAGGTTGCGGTTTGCATCTCAGCCAACAAGCCGGATGCGGCGTTGGCGTACGCCTGCGATAACGTTCTCTCGCTGCGTCAGGAGCAGGTGTTTGACTACGTGGCGGAGAAGCTCGAGGATGCATTCCCCGACAGCATGCCGCACCTCCGGCTACTGCTCTGTTGGCTACGGTACAGCCGAGACGCCATTGCGGACGTGCTAGTGATGCTGGAGCGCTACAGCCGAAGTGAGTCCCCCGAGCGGCTGAAGCGAGGCCTTGGCATCGTCCTGCAGGCTGCCGCCGAGCATCCCGTACTTCAGCGCGCCGTGGTGCGGTGGATGGTGAGCCACCCTCTCGAAGATGACCACGTGATGGGCTTTGCGGAGGTGCTGGAGGAACACGCCGTCGTGATTGCGGAGCCCCAAACCCTCACAGCGTTGTTCTGCGTGTGCTGGCATAATCGCACGCGACGTCCCACCGCTGCCGCGCGGGGTTTTTGCGACATTGCACGGGGGCAACAGCGTCTCGCGCTTTCCTCAAGGATCCTGTGCATTAAGCTTGCTTTGGAGGCGGATCCAACAATGTCGGAGCAGTTTGTCTACTTTGTTCTGCTTCTGCAGGAGGAGCTGGCAGAAGCCATTACGGCGGCGTGGGGCGCAGCGACTCCCCGGGTTGATGCCTGGCAGCAGGAGAAGCTCGAGGCGGACGTGGATGAGCTGCGGCACACGTACTTGGAGGAGCGGCGACTCTTTCAGTTGGCCGGGGAGTACAAGCAGCAGGGTGGGGCGAGGGTTCAGCTGGACCTGCTGAAGGTGCACCCCGAGACCCCAGAGAAGGTCACAGTGGAGGCGGTGCAGGATTTACTCGAGTTTCTCCTTGTGACCGGCGTGCCCGCGACGGAGGCGGTGCGGAATGTAGTGCGGGAGTACTACGACGGCTACGCGGCCGGCCTGCCTTTGCTGCCGTTTGTGGCGGTGCTCGCCCAGCACGGGGAGTCGGCGGCACAGATTGCGGCGCTGTTGCACTCCAGCGGGGTGTCTCAGGGCGCCGTCTTCGACGTGTTTTTCCACGTTCTCGACGAACGCGTTGAGGGGCCGGAGCTTACCGTGGGGGACGTGGCGACGACACTCGCCGCGACGGTGGGGCAGCTTACCGGCGAGAGCAGGGAGATCTGTGCGGCGTACCTGATGGAGCGCATTCGCGGCCTGCTCGCGTGCGAGCACACAGCCACGACCATGGCGGCGGCGGTCCTGCCGGCAAGCACAGCGCTGCAGGAGAGCGACATCGCGCAGCTGCAGCGCGCCGAGGCGCTGTTGCGGCTGCCACGCGCGGTGTCGTCTGTATGAGCGTTGTCGGGGTCTTGGGGCAGGGAGTCAGAGTTGCCGCAAACACACCGTCCAAAGCTGGGGGAGAAAAAAGGTTGGGGACGGGTGGGTGGGTCAAAAAAAGAAAAAAACGGGAAGGACAGGGGAACGGTGCCTGAGCGTGTGTGCGTGTGTGCGTGTGGGGTGGATAGACGCGGACGAGGCGTGCCTTTGCGACACGGCCGCTCCGATGGGAAAAGCAACCAGGGCGGGGGTGGGGAAAGCGGCGAGAGGTGAGACGCGTCACTGGAGGAAAGACGGTGGTGAATGCACATGCCTCGTAGGCTGGTAAGAAGGTGGGGGGGGGGGACACAACAACAACGCAAACTGTGTTGTCTCGTCTTTTTCCTTTTCTTCTTCATTCTTCATTTGCTCTGCTGCTTTCCAGCCTTTTTCTTGTTGTTGCTTCTGTTGGTGTTTCTGCATCTTCCCGTTTCTTTGCCTCCTTCCCCCCTCGACGACGACGGCAACAACGACTGCTGCGGCTGCTGCTGCCGCCACCCATGTGAGCAGCGCAGTGACATGCGCGGTGTAGTTCTCTGTCTCTCTGCCTCTCTCATCGGGACTCCGCCCTTTTTTTTTTTGCCTCCGTGACAGCGGCTAGGCATGCCGAGCTATTTACTACACTTCTTCGCTTTGTCCTTTTTGTTATATATATATATATATATAAATGTACATATAATATACATACATCTTCTTGTTTTTATTTTTTTTAAATACACGCTTTTGTTTGTTGCACGCACGTTTTATGACTAGCGCTTTGGCGTTTTGGAGGAAGCCCGCCCAATCATGCGCCGTACGACTGCCCACTGGGTCCCGCGGCTGCTGAGCGCGGCTACCACCAAGTATGCCGCACCGCCCAGCTTCAACGGTGATAATGTTGGTGACGGGGCTGACTCTAGAAGAGGCGCTGGCCTCTTCTTCGCCGACCGCGCTGTGAAAGTGACACGGCTAACATCCCCGGGTCTTTCCTTCAGCTGCACCCCTTCCATTCTTAGCTGCGAGGCCCCTGACGCCACAGCGGCAGTGCGCCTGGTGAAAGAGGAACCGGGTCAAGTGCCGGCGGCCAAAATTCAGCTTGCCGGCCTATGCGCTGTTTCCCTATTCCGGTCTCACCGCATTGTGCTCTACTGCACCGGGGAGGTGGACCGCGTGCAGCACCACGAAGTGGGCCTCAGGAGCGGCGACGTTCTGGTCGTGCTGCGGGGATGTGACCGGATGCGGGACTGGAGCTCCGTCGAGCGCACGCTGCGCAGCGTTGCTGGCGAGGATCCCGAGTACATCGCAGAGGAGGTGCTGTTGCGGTTGGCCTCCGACGCCCACCACGGCCCGCACGCGAGTGCATCCAACGAGGTGCCCGCCACCGGCGTGCCAAACGGCGTCTGCATCATGACTGTCGTGCGCCACCGGCCCTCCGCACGGCTTCCGCAGCCGCCCTTCCACTTGCATTGCTCAATAGCTTGAGGTGGTGTCGCCTCTTTTTTTTCCCTCTACAGTGTGAGGCACCCGCCCGCAAGTAACGACCAGAGCGGTCTGGGGAGGGAACGGGATGCAGTGGAATCCCGCCACCTGCCTGAGCTGCGAAGGAAGAGTAGCGAGGGGAAATAACTAAGGATACTACACACAAAAAAAAAAAACGGAGGAGGAAGTAATGGTGGGGGAGGAATGCAAAAAGGAACTATACTTATATATGTAAATAAAACATAGGGGGAGAGGGACACCCGTTTAAGTTGTGTATATAAATATATATATTTTCTTTTGTTTTATGCCTCCTTTTTTCCATTCGCAATATGTTCTTGCTTTTTGTTTTGTTTCTTTCGTTGCCTTTCCATTCTCGTTTACTACCGGCCCTTGCATTCTCACTGCGCCTGGCCCGCTATTCCTATCCCTGTGCTTTTTTCCGCTTGCCCGTTTCAAGCGGGCAGCAACACGCACACCCCCTTTTTTTCTTTTACTCTGTCTTTGTTGTGGGTTAGTAGGTATCGGTGGTTCCTTTCTCCCTCTTTTTTTTTTTTTTATTGGCGCGTTTTTTTTTAAATCTTTCCTCCTTTGTGTGGTTGTTATTGTTTTCCGTTTTGTTTTTGATTCGGCACCATCCTGCTTTTCTGTGCGAGTGTGAGAGGGGGGGAAGCTGGCGGCTGTGCGTCCGTCGCTTGCCGCTGCGCTGTGACCGTGCCGGAGGAGGCAGAAGAAGAAGAGGCCGCGAAACACACAAAAACAGAACACGCGGGTCAAACAGACTGACGGACAGAGGGAAGGAAATAAATAAAACGGAACCGTCGCCCCGCGCAATGCGTCTATGTAGCGATCGCGCAGCTTACTGTAGCGGTTTTTGATTTACGCGAGATATAATATGTACGCACATTTATGGTTGTGTATATACACGCGGGGAAAACAAACAAGGAATACATGAAGACGTTCGTAATGTGTCTTGTTAGTTCCTGGGGGCTTTGCTGCACACCTTTGCGCCGGCTGTCAAAAGTGACCAATGCAAAACGAACAACAGTAGCAACGGAGAAAAAGAAAAAAAAATAGATAACAAAGCATAATGGATCAAAAGAGGATGATAATATACAGCGAGGCGGGGGGAAATTAAGGTGCAGTTATGCACATGGGCTCTGGCTGGAGGAGCTGTCCCTCCCTTCATCTCCTCCCTTTTACCTTTATTTTTATTCCCTTTTTTTTTGTATGTGTACCCCCCAGCAATGTAACGAGCGAGAGGAAGGAATAAATATAGAGAAAAAAAGGCGCGATGGCGGGGGAGGTGTAGTAAGCATAGTTCTGGAAGTAAAAACTCTGAATGTGTGTGTGTGTGCTGCTGCCGTCGGCGATGGAGCGGGGGATGCGTGAGGGACGGCCGGCCAAAAAGACGCTGTGTGGAGGCCGGATGAGGGATGCTGCGTTTTTGCTAGCCCCATTCTCCCCTCTTTCCTTCTCTTCCTCTCCCTCTCCCTAACTCCCTCCACACACACATGTGCATGCATGTAACCATCACTCCCTCTCTTCTCTCTCTTTCTGTGTATGTGGGCACTGCTGCTGCTGTTGTCATCAGTGAGGTGGGTGCACACGCGGCACCCTCCCCTTCCCAAAGAGTCTTTGGGGAAGAAGGGCTGCTGTGAGAAGTGAAAATTTGGGGCCTGAGGGCAAGGGAGACACTGATAATAAGAAATGTTTGTATTAGAAGAAAAATGAAGGGAAACGGAAACTGCGAGGAATGAAAAATCACCCCTCCAACTGCCCCCCGAGTTGAGTATTCACCACGCAGCTGGTGGGAAAAGGCGGAGGCGCAAACGCACACGTGGCGCCCGTCTCTTTTTTTTTTTTGTTCTCGTTTTCTTCCTGCGTGTGTGCGTGTTTTTTCCTTAGCTCCACTCCATGTTTTTTTTTTTTTTAGTTTTTTCCTCTCCGCTTCTTCTTCCTCTTCGTCGTTGCCGTGGTTTCTGTTGCTTTATCTGTCCGTCTTTCTGCGGCGCGCTCTCCAACCTTCCTTTTTTTTTTCCTGCGTCGTGGCGGCCGCTCAGTTGCAGTTGTGCGGCGAGGAACGAACACAGAAGGAAATAAAAAGGAGAAAACATAAAAAAGAGCACTAAAAAGAAATAAAAGGGGAAAGAAGGCGGCGAGAGATAAAAAGATTACGAGGAGAGTTTTCTCGCGGCGAAGCGTACGGGCTAGCTGGGGAGAACGCACATTAACACGCACCGGTTCAGGTAGCGGGCGGCGCAGCAGAGGCACAACTCTTGGGCGTAGGCAGGCGGCAACACTTTTTTCTTTTTTCCTCCTTTTTCTCAGCAGCAGCGGAGGGGGGCGAAGGCCGAAAGCAGGGGGGGGGGACACCAGGGCTCTGCGGCGGCGAGGTGATCACAGGAAAAAAGAAGGCGAAAATAAACATTGAGGTACGCCGCGCCTGCGGCCATGGCGTCGGTGTACCACCGCAAGATTACTATTAGCGCGGGGGAGGAGTGCACTATCACTGGCGATGGCGCCGTTGAGCTGCAGCTGTTATCAGGTGTGGTGGAGGTAGCTGGGGTGCTGCTCCCGGCAAGAGGAACCAGTGTCTTTTTTCTTGAACCGGAGACCCGCTGTGTCGTGCTGTACACGCTGGAGGGCGGCTCTGTCCAGGCCACCGCGACCGTGCCGTTTGAAACGGTAAAGACGGCCACCGGCATGGCCGCTGTTGTGCAGCTGTGCCGCCGCACCCTGGCTGCAGAGCGTCGTACGAAGGTGCTGGTGATCGGGCAGGCCCACAGCGGAAAGACGCTGACGGCACACACCATTTGTAACCTGTTGCGGGAGGACGCGGCGGGGGAGTCCACCACCGCGCCCGCCGCGGCCGTCTTTTTGATGGACCTCAATCCTGAGTCAAACTGCGTCTACGCCCCCGGCTGCGTCTCAACAGTGCAGGTGGAGCATGCGCTGTGGCCCGGCACCACGTCAGCGCCGACGCTGCTTCCCTTCTCCCTCTTTGTCGGGGAGGCCTCCTGCCCGTCGGCGGCGACCATGGTTTCGTTCATGTACTTTGTGGAGCAGCTGCAGGAGTGCACAGAGACGCTGCTCCACGCCGCAGCGCATCACGAGCGCGTCCATCTCGTCATTGACGCCCCTGCGCCGGTAGCTGGCGTCAAGGAAAGCGTGTACTTCCGCAGGCTTATCGAGCTGGTGCGTCCCACCCACGTTGTGACGGTCAGCGCCCGGGACGGCTCAGAGACGTGGTCGACGTTTCTGCAGGAGGACGTCCAGCGGGTGCTGCCTGACTGTGAGTTCTCGTATGCCACGCCGGTGGTGCGACGGTGTGCCGGCTCGTTGCGCGAGCCACGGCTGCGGGAGTACTTTGCCGGCACTCCGCAGTTCCCGTTGGGCTGCGCCAAGGTCGTACTGCCGCTCGCACAGCTGCAGTTTGTCCAGTACGCGACCCCTGGCCTGGCATCGGAGGCGGCGACAACAGTTGCGGTGGTGGTCTCCTGCCGCAAGGTGGCGGCGACCCCCGCGCTCGCCGGGTCGATCTGCGCCCTCTCCCATGCGGAGGTGATAGAAGAGGTGCCGCTGGCCCCGGTGGCCGGGCTGCTGCTTGTAGTGGCGGTGGACGAGGAGCACGAGGAGCTGGTGACTATTGTTCCCGTCTGCGAGGATGTGCCGCGGCGCTTTGTGATTGTGCCGAACGCGGTGACGGCGGCGGAACCGCCCACGCTAAGCGTGACGACCATGGCGCCCATTGAAGAGGCCGTCGCGGTGTGAGCGAGCCCGCGCGTGTATAACAGGTGTATCCGCACCGACGCCATTACCCATTTACTTACATACATAGCATTCTCTCTCTCTCTCTATATATATATATATATAAACCCCTGTGCATCCTGTTGGACGTGTTTCTTCTAACCTTGCGTTCCCTTCCCATTCCCCTTTCTTCCTTTTTTTTTGTAGGTGTGGGTTTTATTTCTCTTCCTTGGAGTGTTGCGTTGCCGCCTACTGTAAAATAATGGTTGCTTTTTCTTTCTCGCCTGCCCAACCTTTTTTTTTTTAGCCACACACACACACACACACACACCGTCTTTCTGTAAGCAGGGAGGAACGCTGTGACATCGACGTCGCCATCGCCTTACCATTATTATTCTGTTGGCGTGCCACTGCCTCCTCTTCTCCTTTCTTACTTTCTCTTCTTTTGCTTTTGTTTCCTGCGCTTTTCCTCTTCGTCCCTCTGACCACAGGTGGCAATGGTGGTGGGAACGAGTGAAGAAGGCGGTGCCGGCGTGGCCAACCGCCCCGTCCTGCGTGTTCTCCACACGCACGGCCCGCTGTTTTTCTGCGAGGACCCTGCTGGCCTTCTGCAGACACTTCCACAGGCGCGCAAGCGCCACTATCGCGGCGCCCAGCTCAGCATCGAGGAGCTAGAACACCTTGCCGCCCGCTCCGTTGACGTCGTCTTCCTGCGCCCCGACGACGCGCGGCGCTGCGCGCGCCTGCGGGAGCGCCACGCCATTTTATGCCGCCTCTACCGCTACCTCACCGACGTGGAGGGGCTGCGGCTGCGTCACGGCAGCCAGTTTGGCGCCGCCTTTGTGGGCTACCGCGACCTCCACAACCATGGCGCCTGCCTGGTATACTTGGGGCCCCTCTCGCGGCGGCGGTGCGGGTGGCGTGCAGCGTCGCCAAGGAGGCGTGGGTGGCGGAGGAGCTGCACGACGGCGGCGGGTTCTTCCTCACGCGACTTGACCAAACGCGTGGATTGCCGCGCGTTAAGCGCCACTGCGGCTCCTGACGGGGTCGCGCGCGTGGCCCGCTTCTCTCTTTCTTTTTTTCTGTGGTCTTCTGTGCATTGCTTTTCTACACCTTTGTCTTTTTCCAGTACCCTCCTTCCCCCAATGGTTATTATCATTATTATTGATTCACCTCTCTCTTTTTCGCTCTTTTTTACTTTTTCTTTCGCGCTCCATGCACACCCAGGAAAAGATGGCTTGCCCACGTGTGCAGTACCGCCGCCGCATGCACTATGCGACGCGTGGCAACCGCATGAAGCTTGTGCGTACCCCCGGCAACCGTCTCGTGATGCAGAAGCGTGCGAAGCGCTCTCAGGGCCCCCATACGCCGTGGGTGCTTGGCCACAAGCGCCTCGCAGGCACAAAGGCGCTGCGCCACACGGAAGCCCGTCTTGCCTCGCGGCACCAGAAGAGCACGTCGCGCCCGTACGGCGGTGTGTTGAGTCACGAGCAGGTGCGGGACCGCATCGTGCGGGCCTTCCTCATCGAGGAACAGCGCATTGTGAAGCGCGCACTCAAGGCCCACACCAAGTCGCATAAGGAGAAGAAGCGCCGCGACGCCAAGAAGAAGCGTAAGGAGGAGAAGAAGGCCGCCATCTCAAAGAAAATTGCAAAGAAGCTTGGCGTGAAGTCCACCGTTGCGAAGAAGACGGTCGCCAAAAAGAAGATCACTGCGAAGGCCCCCGTTGGTGCGACCCTCAAGAAGAAGTAGAAGGACTGCAGAGCCACACTTTCTTTTTCTTTTCTTTTCGCTCTCTTTTCCATAAATATATTTACGTTTTTGTCGTTTTTTTTTAAAAAAATATTTTCTTCTTTTCGTGCGTGCTCGCGCCCTCACCGCATCTTCCTACCCACTTCCTTTTAAGTCTTCTTTTTCCTCTGCCGCCGCTTACTGTAGTGGGAGGGAGGAGGCGAATAAGAAGGGGAGTAAGGAGAGAGGGAGTGTGTGGTGTGGGGGCTAACACTGAAGCTGTGGGGCAGGCCGCTGCTACCGCTGCCGCAAGTCCCTGTCGCTGTTGCTCTTCACCGCCCGCTGCGTTGTGTGCGTTCACTTGCCTTTATTTCCCTTTTTGTTCTTTCCTCTCCTACTCTCTCTTATTCCCTGCAGGTCCGCAAAACGATGGGATTCTTCGACTCTGATCTCAGCTACCCGACGGTGCGCTCCGAGCGTATGAAGCACAAGCGCCGCCGCTTGGTGCAGGGCCCTAACGCGTACTTTATGGACGTAAAGTGCCCGGGGTGCAACGCCATCACTGTGGTCTACAGCCACGCCACCTCGGAGGTACAGTGCAACGGCTGCGCCACCAAACTCTGCCGCCCTACCGGGGGCAAGGCGATGCTGACGACTGGCTGCGGCTTCCGCAAAAAGGCGGACCACTGAGTCTTCACACGCCTGCGCGCGAGAGGAGGCGGCCGTGCGCGGACTGATCGCGTTTAGTTGTTGTTGTTGTTGTTTTTTTTTTTACCGGGACAATAAAAAATGGCACAAAAAAAAAGAGAGAAGAGGCCATGTGGGGGGAAAGCGGCTCCGTAGCGTTCCCAGCCACTCACTCAGCCGCGCAAACGCACAATTGCAGCTGCACACATGTGCTTGCTTGCCTGGGGCTGTATTCAGGGCAGCTGGATCCATGCATGCGTGCACAGCTATACAGCTGCGTGCGTGGCTCAATGGCTGTGTGAGTGGTTGACACGCAGCGGAGCCTCTCTCTCTCTCTTTGTTGTTTCCCCCGCTGCCTGCCCACTACTGTCACTGCCTTCTGCATTGACGTCTTTCTTTTCCTTATCTTTCTGGCGTTTTTATTATTATTTACGTGATCAGGCTTTTTTTTGTTTCTGTTGGGTACTCGCCGCGGTGCCATGTCGAAGATCCTCCCCGNGCAGCTTTCAGAAGCCATCCAGGCCGTCCTCACCACCCGCAAGGAGCGCAAGTTCAAGGAGAGCATTGACCTACAGGTGAACCTCAAGAACTACGACCCGCAGAAGGACAAGCGTTTTTCCGGCTCTGTGCGGCTGCCGCACGTCTG